ATAATTAATTCCCCTTAGGTTATTAACCATGAGACGCATGCATTAACAACCCAAGTTTACTACCGTGAAAGGACCGAATTAATAACAAGCGTATTAATCGACCGGTTCTAGTATTAATTAATATATGAAACAAAACTAGTTGATCCTTTAAGTAATGCTCAAAATATTAATATGAAATAGGAATAGGAACTAATTAGTATTCAAGGAAGAAGATTAAAGAAAATAACTCACAACTTACAATTCATTAAGCTTCAAAGTAGCGAAACCAAGATGGAAGAGTTTAGCTCCTCATTTGGAGACTAAACATGAAGAAAATATAAAGAAAGAACTTATCTAGACTGAGCTTAGAAGTATATATCACTACTAGAAAAATAGCTATTTGCTGCGGTTATTTTTATCTATTTGCTGCGGTTCTGAACCGCAGCAATTAAAGGAGCAGCAAAATGTAGATTCTGTTATTTGCTGCGGTCAATAACCGCAGCAAATAGGGGTCACTATTTTTTTGAAATTCACTTATTGCAGCGGTGTCTACACAACCGCAGCAATTTTGGATGCTGAGCAGTTTTTATAGTAGCAATCATTGAGCAGTTTTTATAATAGAAATTATTGCTCCACATGGATGATGGGCAGGTTTCTACGTTTTACCCCAAATAAAAAAGTAACTTTACATAAAGTACAAAGTCATAGAATCAGCCATATTACAAAGTATATTCAATCACCGTCAAAATAATGCTACGTATGAATTATGAAATTTTACAAAAAGTCAAAAACATGTCAATTGCCAATACAACCAAAGCTATAATCTTAGAATACAATCTAATGTGGAGTATAGAGTACAATTAATTATGAGAAACATTATCACCCATTTATTCAGGACTTCATCACTGCTTAAAATGCTCTTGTGAACCTGAAATATTCAGCAACTCCAATGAGTACATGACTACATGCTCGATTATTGCTCGATTTGAATGATTTAAGTCTCTAACTATGAATCAACCATTTAAATCGGTATAAGTAAATTATGAGCAAAAGTAACTATTCAAACCCCTAATTTTGGAATTCCATGACTAAAGTCTAAAGGTAAAATATTGCACTGAAACTAAAAGTGTTAAAAATGAAACAAACTAAACTTCTGGAATAGGTTATGATTTATGCAGCTTTAATAACGATTAATGTTAATCATGACACTTAAAATGGGAGGGGATACTTATTATATTATGAACAAATATATAAATCAGTATTAAAACTTAAAAGTCACATATTTATAAATTTTAGGTCACAAAAAATAAAGCAGACATACATATGGAAACTTCATAAAAATTGAGCTACCTGAGAAGTTGATGACACTTCGTGGGAAAGAAGGTCTTGGTCACTTTAAGCCATAGACATTGACATTAGAAGCTCTCAGAGCTACACAAACACAAACCAGAACTGCAAGTATTTATTCCAAGTGAAAAAAATATAATGAGAACCGAATACGTAGAGGAGAAGAACTAAACCATTAATCCCATCCATTAGCTCAATAAATTGAAGAGTGAATAAAAAGAAGATGCAAAAGCAAAGGCAAATCAGTTAATTTTATACCCACCTTTGCCTTTACCCTTCTCAGATGCTACTTTTCACTGAAATAAATCCTGAAATGATAAGGAAGTGAAGAAGGTTATATAACGATTTAGACAAACTGACAAGGAGAAGTGAAAATGTATAAAAACAGCCTAGAATAAGAAAAACAATACCCATATGTCCATAGTTCTCTTTGAGTAGAATAGTAATACTACGTAGAATTTGAACATTGAGCTCAGAATAAAGGGTAATAATCTGACACCTCAAGAATCTTGTTAACATCACAAAAAATGGCCTGAGAGATCAATTGAATTCGAAATCTGGTTCTGCAAATACAACATTTAAATGTATAAACATCAAAGAATCTGAATAGGTATATTACCATACGTAAAAATAACAATTAAAGGTTAATTGCATTATTATGTGATTAACAATACTCATGAACTTTCAGAAATTACATCTTACTATATTAGTTTAGTTGCTACCATGTTTAAGTACTTTTCTTTATTATCTTTTTCACAATGCTTGACACTTTATGCTCTTTATCCCTTTTACTAATATTCTCTTTAATTTCAAATAAAATTTGGTTCCCACAATTTTTCCTAATATCTTCAAAACCCTCATTTTTTTCCTGAGATGGGCTGTCCAACAGTAGGTACTCCTCTAAATTGATGTAAACTTAGACCGTGCTCCCGAGTGGGACTTACTCAGTATGTTAAGATTGGTTTGGTTACAATTATATCATAGTTGTTGGTGAGAATAGACTGCTACAATTTTATAAACTTCTGCAATCCAACAGGGAGTTAATATTATAAAACGACTTAAGTGTTGTTACTCACCCGACCAGCTTCCTCTCTCAAGAGACTCATCTTCAATAATTCTGATTTCAGGATCGGAGTAAGTCTCAGGTTTATGCGCTTCCACAACTCTCCTCACACATATTTTTCTTATGACTTCAACCCTGCAATAGCCACTTCCCTTCCTCTTTCATCCCCAAAATAGAGACATCCCTTTCTTAGAAAACAGAAAAACAATGAAAAGGGGATAAGTCCCCTATGATTACTAACATACATGATTTAAACTTATATTTAATCGGCCGTATAAATAGAACTGTCAAAATCTAGACAGAGGAGGGAAAAACATACCATTACAAACATATAGTCTCAGTATTAAGAAAAAATGATAAAAACAATGAAAGTAGCCCGCCTCTTTAACTAAAAACTAAATTAACAAACTCACAAAATAGTAAGGGAAATTAACAAAACCACACAAATTAGTAAATTGACGCAGTAATTAAATCAACAAACTAAATCAATCAACAAAGATAGCATGAAAACTACCTATTCTTTAGGTTAATCTGCCATCTAAATTAACGAAACCAACATAACCAGAAAAACCAATATAAACAAACCAACAAGACTAATTACAAAAGGTTTCTTACCTTTTTGTAGGAGGAGCGACACGCGGTGGCTCCGTGAGCTCTATTGGGAGGGGGCGGAGGACATGGGCCGATGCTGCAGGAGGCAGATGTTGCTGCTAGACGGAGACAACGACATCAGGTGCTTGAAAGAGACGGCGGCATCGGGAGCTTGAACGAGATGGCGGTTGCTTGAACGAGACGGCGGAAGCTGCTGAAACGATAAGGCGGCAGCTTTTGGAAAGAAACGACGACAGCTTCTGGAAAGACTACAGCGGCAACTTCTGGGAAGACACGGTGGCGGCTGTATGTAGACGGCAAGGAACTGTGTTGGAAGGAGGCGGCGAGCTGGACTTAAGATGAGGGTTAGGTGATGAGATGTGGGAGGGGAAAAGGAGGATAAGCTTATTTTTAATGTTGCGGTTAAAGGATGCCCGCAGCCAAAGGTTATAAACAAATTTTATTTTATTATTTTTTGGCACTTTGACGCAATAATTATATCTCAATTGCTGCGCTTGAAACACACCCGCAGCAAATAATTAGGATTTCATAAACATAATGCTGCGGTTGAAAGAGAACCGAAGCAACTACATGAAAATATAGACTAATTGCTGCGTGGATTCTAGGAACCGCAGCAAAAAGGGAGAAGCAAATGATGAAAATTCTAGTAGTGTATGAATTGGTATCTAATTGTGAAGGAAATGGAGTGTATTTATAGGCTTTTTTGGGGTGCAGGTCGGGTACTCGATCGAGTATATACATGTACTCGATCGAGTATGTGTAGAAACCTGAATTCGATCCATACTCGATCGAAATTAGAGTAAAATTTAGAGCTATACCCGATCGAGTATGTCGGTGTACCCGATCGGGTATAGACACTCGATCGTGGTCATGTTCCTTTGTTTTCGGATATGATCAGATTTGAAATTTCAACAAGATACCCGATCGAGTATAGGTGATACTCGACCGGGTATAGACCAAAAAATCAGGAACATCCCTTTGTCTTGTGATTTTGCACCTTCCTTCCACTTTTGGGGTTCACCAAGTGTCCTTTGAGTGATAGTAGACCTGCTTGAGCTCAGAATAAACCTAATCTAAACAATTTACAAGAATTTAACAAACTAAATAATTACACCAAAAGTGTGTAATTTCCAAAGTGAAACCAATCAAAACTACTTAAAATCACAAACATAAACATGGGAATTACATGATTATCATATATCTTATAGCTAAATTCGTGCCATGGAACTCCACACTTAATTTTGTATTTCTTTGAAGCATACAATCCATCAATAGAGTGTTATCTGAACATAAATCAAGATCAACTAAGGTTGTGTTAAAATCAGCTCAATCAGCTCAATCAAAAATTATAGTTGAAACAGTTGAATAATGAAAAATTAAATTACATTAAATCATAGTATAATAAAAAATAAAGAAAAAAGACATTAAAATTCAACTAGAATAGTCTTTTCAACAAATTCAGCTGAAAAAGTAACTTGATCTTAGTTGTTTTTATTACTTTTTATTAGGTACCTTAACGCCTGAAATTAAAATTTTAACGTTTGAAAAAGGGAAAATTGCATTTTTGGTCCCTCAATTAGTGATCATAGTGAAATGTCAAATCCATATTTATCATACTGTCATTGTCACCCCCAAAATGATAGATATATTTGTTGTAAATTTTTTCCCCGTCGTTTATATTTCATACCCGATTCTGCACTATCAATAAATTCAACGGGATGACATTCATAACACATCTATCAATTCGGGTGTAACATTTACAATATCAGAAATACAAGTTTGAAATTCCAATATGATGACTAATTGAAGGACAAAAAGTGCAATAACCCCAAATATGAATGATGTCGTTAAAAATTGACTCCAAATTAAATTACATAGCAACATGAAGATGTGAGATCAGGGGCCTGGCTTTAGAGAGATGTGTGGAGTGTGGACCCCTTTCTCACCCCATTAAAATAACACAAAAAATGTTGTCTACTTCAACTATGTCTCACACGTATAACAATTACATCATTTGTTAAAACAAAAGCTCTACTCTTCTCTCTCTCTATGAGTATATGAAGGAGTATTGTATCAGAAGAATCTATGATAGAGTGGAAAAGTGTGATAAAAATTATTAGAGAGAAAGACAGGAACCCACGCAAGATATAAGGGCTGCTCCACATTTGTCCTCATCGGTGAGAGCGGCCGGTGACATATATATTTAAGGACAACATAGATTATAGGGTATAGGCCGGAGGGTATGGGTCATCAGTGCTGCAGCAAACAAAAGGTAAAGAGAGGGCTTTGGTCTCCGGAAGAAGATGAGAAGCTTATCCAACACATCACCTCTCATGGCCATGGCTGTTGGAGTTCTGTCCCTAAACTAGCTGGTCAGTCCTCTGATCTCTAAATATTTCTCATCTACTAGCATAGGTTTTGATTGTATGTTGTTTATTATACCTATCTTGGCTATCGATCTATTTCTTGTAGATGATAGTTTATGATTCATAACTCAAAGTTCGTTTAATTTTCTATGACGTGACAATGCAATTTGTAATACGAAAACTACATTTTTACACAAAATTTATGCACTTTTTTTAAATGTCTAATTGTATATGTACATAAGCATTTCGTTTGAGAAAAATCAATAATTGTTTACAATTGTTTGTACACACAACATAGACCGTGCATATAAAATGTACAAATGTTTTGTACAAAACAAGAATTACTCTTTTAATATTACCATGTATCTAAATTAAAGGGAAACATGAAATGGGCGAGAGAGTCATTTATGAAAGAAAAACAATTGTAACAAAGAGATCAGATTTCTTTCGAATTCCGGTTGTTAAGATTTTTATTAAAGTTTTCATGGCGGGGAAGTTATAACCCTCTAATAATTTTCTTGCATCATGGCTATGAGCCTATGAATATAATCTGTTGGTATACACACACGCTAAAAAATGTAAAACGATGATATTTGAAGTGGAAATATATAGGACATTAGCTTTTAGAAGAAATGACAATGCCCTAAGAAATTGCATTCAACTCATTATTTTAAAAATTCATTATGTAGTACGGCCTCTATGCCCCTAAGGCCCGAAGATATATTGAGACAACAAGGAATTGTGCAATTTAGAAGCAAGGAATTGTGCAATTGTTAAAAAGCGGAATGATGTGGTTGATATTGAGTTAATTAAATGTGAATAAAATAGAATGAATTACAATCACACAAATATTATCTAGCTAATATAATATGAAACACATTTAATGGGATGAACGAAAAAAGTAAAATGTGACAAAGATATGAGACGAAGAGAGTAATGAATAAAGCCTTGTTTTCATCTAAACAAAAACAATTGCTATCTTTGAGCCCTATTTATGCAAAAAATTAATAACCAATTACGTAGTATATGATTATAAGATATATACATTATGGTAATACGTAGTAAAATAAAACAATCGATAGTTTCAAAAAGAGAATAAATATTATGCATTAGATTTGATTGTGGATTTAAGGGTATAGAAATGAATGAGAAAATGATGAAAAAAGTGCGTGGCCAAATTGCAATTGAGTGGAATTTTTTTCACTAAGTTCATATAGTATAGAAATAACAATGGTAATGGAAAAACTCCTTACAAATTTTGGTTCTTAAGATTTTCATAAAAGTTTTCGTTGCATCATAGCTATGATCTAATGGTATATACTGACGCTAAAGAACTAAAGCGATGATATTCATGAGTAGGACAAATATAACTACTACTACGTAGTACGTACTATATAGAAATAGGAGTATATATAGGACATTTATTTTTTGTGAGGACAGGACACTCAATTCATTATTTAAATATTTAATACTACCTCCGTCCTGTTGAAAAGTTCCTATAGCAAAACGACATGGTTACTTAGACAATAATTAAATAAAGTACTTCGAGTATATTTTGAAAAATAATTTTAATAGGTATATATTATATGTAGTTAACATTGATAATTGAGATGTTATAAATGTATTATTTATAATATTTAATGATTAACTTGTCACTTAATATTGTTAATTGTTTCTTAAAATGGAAATGAGAACCTTTATATGAGACGTCCAAAAAAACAAAGGGAAAATCTTGTAATGGGACGGAGGGAGTAATTACTTTTGTAATACTACTTCGTAAAAAAGCTTTATTTTCATCCAAAACAATGTGTTATATGTTTATGCCATATTTATGAAATCCGGAGTAACTTTTACCCATAAATATGGTGCATCAAATATTCAGATTGTGGATTTAGGGCTATAAAAATTAATCAATGATGAGAAAAAGTTGAAAAATAGGTGGACAAATCGCAATTGAGTGCATTTTTTTGCATCAAGTTCATTTGAAAGAGCACTAAAAAGCTTAGTGCATCGGCAACAAGTAAAAATTCGTCATTTTTTTTATTGTTTTTATGTTTTCATTATTGTCATTATTCATTATTGTATGCAATAAAGAAAGAATGCTGCATCCATATTTAGGGTTGCAAAGGTGTGGAAAGAGTTGCAGATTGCGGTGGATAAACTACTTGAGGCCAGATCTAAAGCGAGGCTCATTTACAGATGAAGAAGAAAGGATGATAATAGATGTTCATAGAATTCTTGGTAATAGATGGGCTCAAATAGCCAAGCACTTGCCTGGCAGGACTGATAATGAAGTCAAGAACTTTTGGAATTCTTGCATAAAAAAGAAGCTTCTTGCTCAAGGCTTAGACCCCAACACTCATAATCTCCTCTCTTCAAACCAACCCACCAAGAATAAAAGAAAACCCAACCACCATTCAACAACCAAAACCACCACCCATCACCATCAAGCCTCCGCCCTCCACCACCCTTCCACGGCGGCCACTTTCACCATAGTAGAGACTTCACCTCACAATCATCAACACATTAATATGGAAATGAAAGCTGCCATTTCATCCTCCCCCCTTTTCGACGCCGCTACCAATAATAATCTCTTCCATTCATACTCTTTCGACTACCAAAACCCTACCAACTGCATGATGGATTTCCGGAGTTGCTCTTCCATTGAGAGTACTAATACTTCTTCCTTTATTCCTCCGTCCGGGTATGGTTCCATGTTTGGTGGAACTCAAACATTTGAACCACAACGGGTCGCAGAAATGGAAACGCTACAAGAACGTCGACCTGAACAGGCGAAAGAGGAAGTGTACAAGGTTGTTATTAGCAGTACGGATCATTGTCATCAGTTCAACAATAATATTGCGCAGAACACGGAGATCATTAGCACGTTTGAAGGCTCTACTATTAATAGCTTCGACTTTGATGAGTTCATGGAGGATCCGACTTTGATGCCTTGTGGTGGTGGTGGTGGGGGAGAAGAGTATTGTAATGAAGATCATGTTGATGATGATCAGCTTGCGTGGGATTGCTAGCTAGCTAATTTCTTATCAATTATTGTTTAGTCAACAAAATCTTGAAAATGTTGGTAGCTAGATCTGAAGATGTACTATCTCTCTTGCTTTCTTGAGCATTCATATCTTCAAAGTAACTCTTTGTACATGAGGGGTGCAACAGAACCAACTAGTCCTATCTTTTTCTGTTTGTAAATCATATGCTTCCTCACCCTAATTTAGAGTGCAAGTTTTATGGGCTCTTGTATTTCCAAAAGAGTTAGGAGTAATATACGAAGTATATTGTATATATGTATGTGGTTCAAAATTTTTAGAAGGTAGATACTTTAAAAAAACATCTACCTAAGAGAGAATTGTGAAATTTACTCGATTATGACTATAACATACGAGTACATAGTAGTACCTCCATATATACATAACGCAATTGTCAAATTGGTCATCTTTAATGTTAGGTTTGGAAATTTACTCGATTGTGAAATAACAAAAAAATTGTGAAATTGTCACCTTCATGTTTTGAGTTAATGGCGGTAAAATTTGGTCAAACATATACTACGTATAATAATTTCCTAAAAACACATGCATATAATTGGTCAAAATTAGATATGATTGACAAAAAGTTCAGAGGTCACAAAGTTTTATAGGAGCTAAATATGACTAGAGCTAAATATAAATCTAGATACCAAAATACCTCTCATTATCCTAAATGATTTAAAGCTACATTAAAAAAAATGTCATGTGTCAAAATGTGTATAAAAACACAGTGTTTTCAATAATTTACTTAACTACCTTCTTGATTGTATAATTGACGTAATCTACACTTTATTAATAACATACTCACATAATCTACACTTCATAATTTTTTCCACCCGAAAGCACTTCAAATAAACAACTTCGAACGGTAGTTCCCATCAGATAGTATCGGGGACTCGGGTGATCTTTAACTTTTCCGGTTCATCATAATATGAAATCTGATCTACACATTAAATTACCTCCCACCATAAAATCTGCCCAGAATGGCGGAAGTCCGATCCATAGCCTATTCTTCCCACAATTTCTAAAAGGGAAAACTGTCAAATATATTCTTGAACTTTCATTAAAAGGTCAAATATGTTTTTATATAGGAGGCTCTGTCCGGCCGTCGTGATTTGGGGCGGTTCCTGGTGGATTTTTTTGATGAACTTTTTTTAGCATCTTATTCATCAAGTCTAGTTTACTCATACCACATTTCAGCTAAAACTTCAATCGGGAACGCATTCAAAATAATATAATTTGAAATTGTGGAGCTAATACTCCTATGATACTCCCTCCATATCAAAATAATTGTCGTGCATGTTTCTAACTTTAATAAAATAGTACTCCGTAGTTTTTTTATTACTTTATCAATAAGCATGCAAAACTGAACAAGATAATTAATACTTGATAGTAATTTGAAGAGATAGTATTTCTATATAATTGGTTGATCAAACGACACTATAATGCAAAAGTTAATTACAAAATGATTTTGATCATTCAAATTAAATTTATGTGCTATGTACGTCATTTCCTTCCCTTATATCGTTAACTTACTATGTTTATAGTGTCAAAACAAGCAGAAAGACTTTATTTACTATGGGATCCTTCTCTTTTCTGTAAAAAATACACCAACTTCGTTAGGCTTAATTAAAGGGAGTAAGGGACCCCGATGTAAAATAATAAAATAAACATTAAAAATATAGGCGTACATGGTGTTTGGTAACTTGTACCAAAACAATCGACCAAGTACATGTAATGTTATTTCTCTGTACATATATTATTTTTAATCAACAATTTTAATATTTTAAACAATTCTTTGTCGCTAATTTGAAACAATGATTGTCTTGTAACTTGTAAGTGTTAAAGTTATACGCAGTACAAGTATATTATCATTTCAAAAGTAACAAGAATATATAGTAATGATAGTAGTTATAGTTATCTAACTAGCACTACTAATAATTCTAATAATAGTAGGAGATAATTTCCTCAATAGGACTAAAATATAACATGTTTTCTCAAACGGGAATACTGTCATTTGTTTCACGAAATATATGTAGTGGGAAAATTGCGTATTTTTTTTTTGAAAAATAAGAAATTTGACAATAGCCTAAAGAACTAGACAAAGAACTGGCACATGTACAATCAAAGTGTGTGCAACGCACAATATATATCCTTAAAAATAATTAGATGTCTTCCACGGTGCTACGAGCGTTGCAGTGTCAGTTTTTCAGGATACGATGACTGACGAACAACCGTATTAAGCATTTGATAGGTTGCTCCGCGGAACTGGAACAAAGGGTAGAACTGAGTAAGTTTTATCGGAAGTTTGGCAAAGTTTTTCTTTTGAGGGGATTGTGCAGCGAGTACTTTTGTGCGATCAGTGTTTTCCTTGATCGTGTGTGTTTCCAAAAATTTGTTGCAAAGCTTACATAGGATAGGAAACTTTGACAGTTCGAAGGAGAGATTCAAACGTTCATTAACCGATGGTAGTTCTACGTTAAGTTCTACCTTTGAAATTTTTCTATTTCTCCATCTCAACAAGTGAACTTTGAGAATCAACTTCTCATTCACTCGATATCCGTTTTGAGTGTACCACATATCGAATTGAACTCCTTAAAAGAGAAAAATTCGAAACCACTTTGACCCGACTCAAATCGGAGGTGGACCCCACTCAAAAAACTGCCCAAAAATAGCCATTTAATGCAATTTTAATACAATTTTCCAACAATATATATGACTCGTTTATTTCCAAGAAAGAAGTTTTAACCACTTTTAGAACTATATGACCCCTGCATTTAGGATAAAAGTGATAAAACATAAACACCTCTATATGTGCAATTCAATCATGTTTTACTCTTATCTAGACACATTTTTAATAGTAACTATAGTGGTGGCACACTTGGGACTGATAATAAAGGAAAAGATAAAGACAGTGGGTGCATTGTCCTTGTAACAAAGAGGACAAATGGACGGTAATGAAGTGTAAAATCTGCCCATATTTTCCACAAAAGAACAGAGACTTGAAGGGGTTGCTTAGAGTTCCAAATGAACGTGTGGGACAGAGGGGTTCCATTCTTCCAAGCTCATCATAAAGAGAATGGTGTGCAGATTTAAAACTAAAATCTCCAACTAGAAAAGGCTTCCACACTTAGGATCAGACATTCCTAGGAAGCTTAGAAGTTGCAAGCGCATGTAGGTGAAGTGAGGAAAGAAGTTTATGTTGCCACTGGAGAGGTTTATTATTAAAAGCTTGCACATGTTCTATGCGACTAGAAATTCCAGTTATGCTCTTATGAAATCGAACTCCCAGATACTTAAACTAGTTTACCCACTTCCATTTTAAGCAATTTCTCCACATGCCTATCCTAGCTCACGTTTTAAAGGTTCTTTTGGATAAGTAGACCAGAAGCCTTCTCGTATTTATTCAAGAACTTCATGACATTTTGCAGGGTTCTAGCAGTCTCACTTAAGAAAGGGAATCGTCTCTCTCCAGTTAGAGTTGCATGCGAAGAATGAAAACGACTAGAACAATTCCGTGAAACTATTTTATACTTTTATGTTCAGAGTACCAGAATGCAATAAAGATCAACAAAGCCAAGAATATCCAACAATAAATACAAGAATATCCAACAAAATAAATACAAGAATATCCTATAGTTTAGATAGAAACAAAGCAAATACAACTGGTAGGAAAAAACGTTAACTAATCATTATCTACTGCTCCGACGGTGGTTGAAGTTGCCAAGTTGGTATTTAGAGAAAAAGCTACTCCAGTTCGATTCCACCGAGGACACACAGGAATCCAAATCCTTGTACTGGGTGGAGAATGTGGTGAACGAAGACATCATATCATCGTGTAAGCGCCTAAAAGTGTCAACTTGATGCTGATACAGCCGCTAGTATATATTTTCCTGATGCTGATACAGCCGTTGGTATATATCTTCTTGATGCTGATGCATCCTCTCCCAAGTGTTGGGATAAGCGTGTTCGTAGGGAGGGGCATATAGGAAGATTCCTCAGCAGCGTGGCCTACAGCAAGTTGTGTCTCATCAACGGGGCGGTTGTCCCTCAGCCTCAGCCTGCATCCCCTCAGCGTGCTCAGCACCATTCGCATCATCACCGTCTTCTTACGTTGAGTAAGAACAATCTTCATCATCAGAGCAATGTTCTTCACCACCTGCATCCCAACAAACCGATCTGCATACCCCATGTTGCTCAAAACTCGTGTAATGTAAGGGCCAGCATAAATGCTCTTCACCCGATGTTGTGACTGTCGGTGAAAGAGCCCAGCTATAAGGGCACCCATATGAGGCTTCACATCGTGAAGCATGCAGTAGAGACACATCAAATCTATAGTCGAAATGATGCCACCTATCTCATAGCAGCCAGTGATCGTAGATGTGAGAAGGCCGTGGATAACTCTAAGCTCTGGGGGGTGCAACTCAAGGCTCCTAGAAGTCCGCGGGTCATATGGGGTACCGCTATTGGACATAGATCTCCAAAACTCCCGACGGTCTACAGTGGATGGAAAATCAACAACATCTGGTGGAGTGCGACAATGAGGAAAGCCCAACTTGTAAGACAAATCGGTCGTAGACATAGACAATGTTTCTCCAAGGCTCTAAAAGTAATCTCTGCCCTTGTGTCGTTGAAAATGAGCTTCTTGGTCTTCATTGATGATAGAACCTCGCACGTCAACTCCTAATAGGTGGGCTCCTGAATGCCGAAGAATAAGGGGTGTCACCAAGGCTTATGTATCAAATGGAAGATTCAATCTTTGAGTCCCACCTTCTCCAAAGGCTCCTCAGCTGGATACAGAACCATCCCAATCGTCTTTCTCATATATTCGTCATACTTAATAATGTGATCATCGTCCTTAAACTGGACCCGGTATGGCTCCTCAAGATAAGCTCTAGCCCTACTGTTGCTTGCGCCAGTGGATTGCTTTGGGCATTTGACGCTCTGTTTAGTCCCTACCATCTGCAAAATAGAAAGAGCTGAAAATTCCAACGGGCACCAATTACGTAAGTAAAGCTCAATAAATCAAAGAACAATTGTCCCGTTAGCGTCAATGAATCAAAACTGTCAGAACATCTCAAATCACCTAGATGCTTAGTCATATTTAATTTGAAATATTTAAAAAAAAAATAGAGCAGAATAAAAAATTATAACAATTTGGGAAAACACTGCACTACCACATGGCAAGGAGGGATGACCATCACCCCTCCCCAGCGTGAACAAAATCAGACTCTATTTCTACATCTCAGGAAAATACATGGTTTCATTCTCTTCTTTACATGTTAGGGACTGACAATTTTCATCCTCCAATTTAAGAGGCATTATATTGTGAGGTTAAGATACTATGTTAAATATTTAATTGATGATATAACTTGCCAAGCACTAGCTTCAAGACCTTGGCCTTCTGAGTTGTCTTCCTACTTGGTCCAATTCAGGAACCGAGTTACTCACTACTTACTCGGCTTGTACCTGGTGATTTTAGTGACCAGGTAAAAGTGAAATTCTGAAAATAAAAATGGGTCATTAGTATAAGGTTAAAAAATAACTTAGGGCCTTCAATTTGATAAATTAACATCTTTAAGGTTTTAATAATTCCTAAAACTATGAATTCTGTGTTTCTGGACATGGAAACAGATAGAAAATCATGTTAGTTATACTGAATTTTAGTAATGATAATACTCGAATTGTAGCATATTTCACTCAAAATCTAAATTTCTTATGCAAGGGCTAATAATCACAACTTGGCCTCGGCATAGCAGCCACTCAATTAAGAGTTCCGGATGCTTCCTTCTTTGACTTTATCAGAATAAAACCTCGATACATATCAGATTAGTTTAGAAAACAAAAAAGAACGAAACGAATCACCTCGCACGTGCGGCGTTTGCCAGATAGGCGGCGCTTATTGGAGGCGATTGTGCAGGGAACACGACTGGAGACTTTAGAAGATTCGGGTTTCTTTCTCCTGATCTTTTTGTTCTTTCTTTTCAGAAAGGAATCGTTGCTCTTCCCCATTGTTGGTGGGGTGCTAAGCTTATTGGACAAGGAGGTAGATAGGCTATGCAGACTGCGGATTGTAAATGGAAAGGTTGAAACTTGAAACGGAGTTGGAGCCGGATTCAGGTAATCTTGTTATTAGAAGTTGTTCTGAGTCTTTCTGATCTGATCTGAATTTTTCTGATCTGATCAGATCTGAATTTTTCTGATCTGATCAGATCTGAATCTTTCTGATATGGTCTGAATGTTTCTGATTTGATTTAAATGTTTCTGATCTGGTCTGAATGTTTCTGATCTGATCTGAATGTTTCTGATCTGATCTGAATCTTTCTCATCTGATCTGAATGTTTCTGATTTGATCTGAATGTTTCTGATCCGAATGTTTCTGATCTGAATGTTTCTGATCTGAATCTTTCTGATCTGATCTGAATTTTTCTGATTTGGTCTGATCTGATCTGAATCATTCTGATCTGATCTGATTTGAAGATTTCTATAATTATAATTATAATTGTAATTATGATTAATTATAATTATGATTGTAATTATAAGAAATAATTACATAAATATAACCAAAATAAACATGGTTTACAAAAATATGATTCATTACTAGAGTAGTAATGAAATCATAGTAATTCATATTCAAGTTTTGAACTTTATGTAAATAAGTTTTATTTTAGTAATATTCTCGTAAAAAACCCTAATTATAATTATAATTATAGTTATAATTGTAATTACAAATATAATTTAAATAAAATTATAATCATATTCATAATTATAAAAAATAGAATAATAATTAAAACTATATTTATCATAATTATACCTATTACACTAATTATAATTATAGATACAATTATAATTGTAATAATATTTTTAATTATAATTACTTATATAATTTATAATTGTAATTATATTTATAATATTTATTTCTATACTTATAATTAAAATTATAAATATAATTTAAATTACTCCGTATAATAATAGTAATTAAAATTATGACAATAATATTAATAATAATTTTAATATAATAATACTAATATTGTAATTATAATAATAATAAGAATAATATTTTAATAATATTATAATATAATAATAATATTTATATTCGTATTAATATTATTATTATATTATTATGATATTATTATTATAAATAACTACTCCCTCCGTCCCAATATACAAAGCACATTTGTTTTTTCAAACATTTTTAGGAGGAACACTGTTTGGCACTGTTTGGACACTGTTTTGCACTGTTTTGACACTGTTTTGCACTGTTTTGTTTGCCAAAAGGGGAAATGTGCCTTTTATATTGGGACGAACAAAAAAAGATTATGTGTCTTTTATATTGGGACGGAGAGAGTATAATATAATAGTAATAAAAGAGATATCATTTGATCCTACCGGAAGAAAATTTCTCTTTCTAATATTGCATTAATTAGCACCTGTCAAGAAACTACTACGGAGTATACGTTTTATAATCACAACATGCCATCTGGATTTAAATGCTTTTTGCTTTTATTAACACACTCTTTCTATTGGAAGTACCCAGATAAAATTCGGGCGGGAACAATTATTGGATAGGTGATTGCGTTTTTATATATATAAAGATATTATTATTATTATTGTTGTTGTTGTTGTTGTTGTTGTTGTTGTTGTTGTTGTTATTGTTGTTGTTATTATTATTGTTGTTGTTGTTGTTGTTATTGTTATTGTTATTATTATTGTTATCATTATTCTTATTATTTATTATTATTTATTATTATTATGTTATTATTATTATTATTATTGTTATAGTTATACTTATTGTGATTATACTTATAATTATGATTATATTTAAAATAATTCCAAATATATAATCAAATCAAAAGTATTGGATAAAAATGTGATCTAGTGACTTTTGGTAATTATGATTGTACTCAAATTTTACATAATAACTATAAAATTTACTCATAGTAACTTATAATCACATTTTTGTCCATATATTTAATAATATTTTTTATAATTATAACTACATTCATATTTATAGTTATAACAACACATTTAATGGTTGATTTATTAGCGGTGAAATTTGAAAAAGAAGTAACGTTTTACACAAGTACTTCATTCTTCTTATTAACTTTGTCAATTTCTCTTTTTATTTTTCTCACCTCTACACAAATCTCTATTTTCTACATTTTTTACTTTTCTTATTCTGCACCCAAACCAAATTAACCAATATGTAGCGAGACAAAGAGAGTATTGAAACTATATTCACTACACCAATTGATGTGTTAACACCACTCAAACACAGTAAATTGAAACTTGAGCTTGTTTATGGAAGAATCCATGAAATATTATTTTAAAGTTTTGTTAAAATTATATTTTTGCTCGTTAAAACTAATTATTGGTCTTGATTAGTTACATTTAATGAGAGATTTAAAAGGCATCCATAAAATTTCAAAAAATTGCACCGTGAATTGAATGAACATATTGAATGGTTGACATTTTATATTTCCCTGTCTTTGTGTCTATCCCTCCATGCATGAAATTTCAATCTTCCCAAATTGGTGTATCAAGATTTGTATTACCTGCCGATTGAAATGGCCAAAATTACAAACAGAATTAACAATGGCCTGGGAAAGGTTCCGGCCATTTTGACTAATTTTTTCTGGGTTGATGGATTCTTGATCAATTCCTTTTCTCTTGGCAAAACATTAAAAAGAGACAAAAAAAACATTGTAATGATATGATCAAGCCACCATCTTCCATCACCTATGGCTCATATAATCATACCTTAAAATGTGAGAAAAGATGGCCTCTTTTCAATTGGAAATCGCCCCTTCTTCAGAGTTCGGTTGTATAATGCGGAATCATCATAGCCGCCAAAACCATTGCAACACCGGAGATTCCACCTCTTTTCCGGAGAATCTAAAGGATTTGGTGCATTCTTGCATTTCTAGCGACCCAAGGAATTCAAATTCAGCGGATCCCAATGACAATGTCAATAACGTTGTCAACCTAACAGATTTATGGGTTCACAAACCGCAATATCTCACGAACATCAATGAGAAAACTCCAAAGAAGCGAGGCAGCAACAAGACAACGGATAATTGGGACAAAGCAAGAAAAAAGGTCTTCCCCAAGGAAGGAAAGTATGATAACAAAGTAGGGTTTGTTGGAAAGCCGCTAGAGGCCCCTAGGGTCGTGTCTTCACTTGTGAAAAAGTGGAGAGACTTTGAGGCCGAGTCCAAACCTCTAGCGTCTGGTGACAACAACAACAACATTAACAATAATAGTAATGATTCATCATCTTGTCCTACTAGAACAAACTCTGGTGTGACATTACTTCAAGAGAGCATTTCATTTGTTGACATTCCTCCAACATGGTCAAGAGATTGTGACTCGTCCTCTAATGAAGACGAGTCACCGACGAATGACAATGACTCATTTAAGGATTGGGAATCAGATAGGCGGGTAGTGAGCGCTCCACCCTCCGTTCGAGGAAGGGATTCTGATGCAACGGAGAGCGAAAGGGTGAGGGTAATCGACATTATCAAGAAATTGACCTCTAGTGGTGGCGATGATAATCAAGACCGTGAGCACATGAGCAATGTGGCGGTGAATGAAGCGCCGCCACTCACTCGGGTTAATAAATCTTGTACCGAACATGGGAGTTCAAACTGTGCTGTTGTGCAGTCACCCCGCATCAGCATTAGAGGTCGTCAAGCACTGAATGATTTGATTGTGCAAATAGAACGCGAGAGAGCCAGGGAGCTTGAAGGACTTATGGAACGTAAAGCAGTATCGAAATTTCAACAAAAGGGCCGCATTCAGGTTGTTCTTAGCAATAATGGCATCATATTCTTGATTTTTATTTTTCGAGATTAGTACTCTCATATGAGAGATTGGCTGATTTAGTTCTGTTAGTTTTGTTTGTGTTAACTTTTCTAACTTTATTTATTTACTTGCACAATAGGTCAACTAACTAATAATTTTGTCCTTTTTAAGGACATTGCCATTGAAAAGTACGTACAATTTTCTTGCAAAATGGACTAGAAAAGTCACCACCAATTTATAAATTTTCACCAAAAATTGTACATTTTGATTGTAAGTCTCTAATGTGGACAAAATGATTACGTACAAAATCTAATTTCCACGTGAATATTATTAATTACACGACAAATATTAGACAGATAAACAAATGGCGAAACTAAATTTACATTATTTTTATTAAATACTCCGTATTTATCTCACTTTTGTCATTCTGATTTCTCAATTAGGCTATGCTCAAGCTTAAATTTTTAAGACGTGAGGCGAATATGAAAGATGCACCACGAGGAAACTCAAGTTGCATTACGCCTGAATCAAGTAGGTCAACGAAATCTTCTATACTACACCTTAGGTGAGAGGCTCTTTTAAAGATTCAGACCTACACTTTTCATATTTTCACAGTGACTATAGTATGTAATGTAAAACGCTAGGCGCTAGAGGAGCCCCAACTAAGTGCTTAGTGCTTAGGTGGGGCTAGGTAAGCGTCTAGATGGGACTAACCGGAGACACATTAATTATACTTTTATTCATATTTTTGCAAAAATATGACAAATAATATTGTCTTTGACAGACACTAACATACATGAATGATAGAATTATCACATTTAATTTAATAATATAATATTACATAGAACTAATCATTTAACTTCATTACGTAATAAATAATTTAATAATAATAATAATAATAATAATAATAATAATAATAATAATAATAATAATAATAATAATAATAATAATAATAATAATAATAATAATAATAATAATAATAATAATAATAATAATAATAATAATAATAATAATAATAATAATAATAATAATAATAATAATAATAATAATAATAATAATAATAATAATAATAATAATAATAATAATAATAATAATAATAATAATAATAATAATAATAATAATAATAATAATAATAATAATAATAATAATAATAATAATAATAATAATAATAATAATAATAATAATAATAATAATAATAATAATAATAATAATAATAATAATAATAATAATAATAATAATAATAATAATAATAATAATAATAATAATAATAATAATAATAATAATAATAATAATAATAATAATAATAATAATAATAATAATAATAATAATAATAATAATAATAATAATAATAATAATAATAATAATAATAATAATAATAATAATAATAATAATAATAATAATAATAATAATAATAATAATAATAATAATAATAATAATAATAATAATAATAATAATAATAATAATAATAATAATAATAATAATAATAATAATAATAATAATAATAATAATAATAATAATAATAATAATAATAATAATAATAATAATAATAATAATAATAATAATAATAATAATAATAATAATAATAATAATAATAATAATAATAATAATAATAATAATAATAATAATAATAATAATAATAATAATAATAATAATAATAATAATAATAATAATAATAATAATAATAATAATAATAATAATAATAATAATAATAATAATAATAATAATAATAATAATAATAATAATAATAATAATAATAATAATAATAATAATAATAATAATAATAATAATAATAATAATAATAATAATAATAATAATAATAATAATAATAATAATAATAATAATAATAATAATAATAATAATAATAATAATAATAATAATAATAATAATAATAATAATAATAATAATAATAATAATAATAATAATAATAATAATAATAATAATAATAATAATAATAATAATAATAATAATAATAATAATAATAATAATAATAATAATAATAATAATAATAATAATTAGAATGCATTCAAATTTCAAACATATGTAGTTTTTATCTTAATCAATAAGTAGTTTTGTTCATGATGTTTGTGATTAAAGCTAAAGATAAGTATATCTCTTAGAAAAGTGAAATAAAAAGAAAAAATGTTCAGCAAATGTAGACATTCTAATATAAGCTGCCGACTAGGCACTCTGGGCGAAAAACTAGGCGCCGCGATTAAGCGGCCTACTAATTCAGCTAAGCCCTTAACCAATTATTCGAGGCACCTAGACTAACATTGGGGCATCTGGCTACTGCCTACTGCCTAGGCACAGACTGATCGATTGCTTATAGCAATTTTTAGAACAATAATAGTATTAATACAATACAACCTGATAGAGTATTTAATTCTAGAGAGAAGTGAGAGTTAGAGAGAGAAAGTGAGTAATTAATATTTCTCAACACCCTATACTAGCCCCAAGGAGTCTATTTATAGGTAAAAATGTGGGTTTGGGCTCCTAGCCATGGGCTTAGGAGGCCCATTACAATAATCATGCTTTCTTTGGACGGAATAGGGTCACTAATGGGCTGAGTACAACACTTAGTAAATAAAGTATGAAAATGCATTCTTCCCGGACGGGCCTGGCCGATGCGGTGACCTTTGGCCGATGCGGTCCCATGGCCGATGCGGTCCATGAGCCGATGCGGCCCCAGAAGCCCAGGTGCGTGTTCTGGGCCGATTTGGTTCCAGCCGTTGCGGGTCCCACTGGGCCGAAGGGGGCCATGTGGATATTCTTCTGGTCATCGTTGACTTTATGAGTATGTGGGCCATGGGGTCCAGGCACATATACTCTATCACAACCGTATTTAGTTTATAAAACCTAATTTCCTAGTATCATAGGAAAGATAATAATCAAGTAAATATATTTAATATGGATAATTAATATATAAATATGAAAAAGGTATCATATAAGTATGTTTACTTTAAAAAATTGATCAATCTAGTCATTTAATTGGTTTTGACCTATAATAGTAGGGTTTTTAGATTAAAAACTATAATATTGTTAAAATTTGAAGAAATATATATATTAATGTGTAAAATTTTCAGAACGTCAAAGTCAATATTTTTTCATTTTAGAAATTTTTTATGTACATCTATTTAAAACCGTTTTACATTTTTTATTTGATATGATTTACTTTTCACTTTATTTTTCTGTTTTTGATTATTTATTTAAATTTTATTTTATTTTTTTAAAATTATTTATCTTTTTGTACATTTATACTATTTTTATATTATTATTACGATATGTTTCATTTTTTGAATTTTTATAAGATTTATCAATAGTCCTAACTTATTTTTTAAACAATAACATGTTATAGCAGGTCAAAATGACTTGATTGATATTGTTTTAGTAAGAGTATGATGCTTCTTTTTGGTATAAGACTTTTAGTATTGGATTCGAAATAGTAGAAGAGTTCATTTAACTTTTTTTTCAAAATATTATTATATTAGTACGTAGTACTAAATCCCATATAAAAAGTTCCAATTTTTACATTTTGCTCAAATTTTCAGTTCCTCTTTGTTAAGACTCAGAGTTCTATCCTAAAAGGTCAACCTAAAAGGAGGAGGAGTCAAAAGTCTTATATATTGTTTTATTGTTTTATAGCTTTTCGGTGTAGGACAAATACTTTAACACACCACCTCAGCCATGAATTGGGTCGGATAATTCGGGGTGTACAAATGGGCCAAACAGACCCTCAACAAGCTATTCTTAATAATGAGTGCTAAACAAGCAGTCAAACCACAACGGACTTGGCTTTGATACCATGTTAAAATCCGGGATTCCATTCTAAAAGGTCAACTTGATAGAAGGAGTAACTCAAAGTCGTATATAGTATTTTATTGTTTTATAGCTTTGCGATGTATGACAAATACTTTAACACTCACATATGTTAGCACGTACATTCATAAGATACTTTAACATGAAGTTTGTACATGTGACCATATCAGCACAAAATACACTTGGGGAAATCTCAAAGTATTCATGAGAAAGTTGATATTTTCATTTTTGTGTATTCATTCTTCCATCCTATAATAATTATACTTTTCCTTTTGCATTCTTTTAGGTCAACATTTGACCATAAATGCATGAAGGTCTATACTTATGAAATCTATAATAATTCCACAATTGATTAATTTAGTTTTGTGTAATAAAGTAGTACAAGTTTTATATAACTATCAGTCGGAATTTATAAACCTTGATTCAAAAAGTTAAATTGGGAATTTGTTTATGGATGTAACTTATTTACAGAGATCCACATTATTAGCAAACCCACCTAAGATCGAAGGAGATCACATTAACATTCAAAATGTTGACAAACATGTAAGTATAGATGTTTCATTTTTGAGTAATTATTTATTGTTCCTTAAAGTTTTAATTTGAACCCTGGAAACCTAAATCCTAAACTCACCACTAACTACATGCTTTGATTTCATACATGTTATTGTTTATATAGTTAGTCATTTTTTGGTCTTTTTGTCAATGATATTTAAGACAGATAATCAATACATTTCAACATGCAAATTATATTGTATTGAAAATAATGGTTAAGTTTTCTTCAAAATTTATTTTTATTTGCTTCATCAAATGTCAGGGAAAAATTCAAAGAAGTTGTTCAAAAAGGTTTAGCAGATTCGAAAGCCACCATCGAAGAAGCTTCATGTGACAAAAACATAGAACTTGAAACTGTTTCCACACCAAATCCCGAAAAGGAGAGCCACCATGAAGAGACTTCAGATGAACTCTATCAAAATAAAAAAGAAGCTACAAAAAACGCCTCAAAACAAATTGATGAAATAGGAACAATTACTCAATCACATCAAACTGGCAGTTCTATTGATGAAGAACCCTTGAAAAATTTGAGTTGTGAAGTAAGATGTGATGATGGGTTTACAGAATCTGTAGATACGGTGAAATTTATTTGTAAACGTGAAGATGTTTTTAACAATAGTAACAAACACAAGAATATGAGTGAATGGAGACGAGATTGGGAAGAGAACGATTGGAGTTGGGTTAGTGATTGTTCTCATGATGATGCAAATAGTAGGTGGGATCAACTCCAATTTGATTTCCAACAAGATGATGATCTCCAACAGCGTGTAGAAGAAATGTGTCAAGATTGGATTAATGATGTTTCCCGCCCTCGTAGTCAATGGGAAGACCTAAGGCAAGCAAGATACCAAGAGATGCTCGATCCTTTCTTTAATAATGGTGACTTGCAACAACTTCTTGAGAGGTATGTGAAGCTAATTTATGTCATGGTTTTAAATTGTGATTCTGGTTGCAGTTGTGATCATTGTGGTTGTAGCTATTGCGGCTGCATTCGCATGAAGTATGAGAAAATTAGTGTTCTGATCCCAGTACGGGTACATTGTGATTTTAGTCGTGAACTCAAAAAATATCTCTATTGTGGTGTGTTGCGATTGCAATGTGAACTGCATTTCGTGTTTACGTCTGCAATTAAAACTGTAGTTCGCGTAACCCTCTTATTACATCAAAACTTTGGACTATATCTTATTTTGTACATTATAATTGGTTTGATTTTCATGATTTGAATTACAACTTTTTTACGGTTTTGTTTGTTTTGAAATTTTTAGAACTATAATTAAGCTTGTTGTAAAGATCTCTTTCGAAATTATAATTTAATTTATGGAGATTTACCACAAAAGTATAATTTATTATCCACTAAAAAACTTAAATATATGACTTCTAAGTCTTCAATAGTATCAATGTTTTATGGTTTATAGAAAACCAAATTTGTAAGAGTATTTTCATACCATAAAAAACAATATCTCGTTTGTTCCATATTTGAATTCTCACTTTCCTTTTAGGATGCCCCGTACTATATCTTATTAAAGTCAAACATTCATTAAATGTAATATTCATATGGTAAAACACATTTATATCCTCCAACTTACCCCCTAGTTTTTTAGCTCTTCCTTTCATTTATCCCCTTTTTTACTTTTTGTGGTAAGGGTAGAAGAGGAAAGTGAATAAAAAAATATTATTCCACGTAAAAATTTATGAAATCAAAATGTGAAGTTAATAATGAGACGGGGGGGGGGGGGGGGTATAACTTATGAAAAAAATAACATCTAAAGGTTAACAAACTTTGAGATCAAATTTGAAAGTGAATATAGTAGTCAACAAAGGGAACATTTTTTTTCAAAAAATATTATAATAGTATGTGATATGTATAATAATTAGAAAACACATTTTCTAAAGAAATGAAATCTAAAAATTCATCTTTCTATTTTATAATTTGTACTATTCATCTGCAATTCCACCATCTTACCTTCTTTCATTTTGAGAACATAAAACTATGTTTAAATTACATTATATTAATCCACTCACATGGAGAGTTTATAGTTGTGTTTTATAACTATGTGCAGGAAAAGTGTTTCAAATTTTCTTTCAGGTGAAAGCAGAGACAAAATAGATCAATTGATGATATCTCGCTCACAAAAACAACCAACCATAATAAGTAATGGCATTGAACAAACACAAGAGCATGAGATGGAAATTGTTGAGGACAAGATAGAAGAGGCAGTCAAAAGTGCTACTGAAGGAAAACTAAACCAAGAAGATGAAGAGAATATAGATAGTATTAACAATAATCAAATACGACAACATAATAGTGAATGTGAGATAAATGATGAATCTTATCATATTGCATCAACATCTTTATCTCAAGGTCAATCACCTAACATTATTTTTCCTCAAGCTAATGTGAGTATATCATCATTGTTCTTTTATGTTGTTGAGTGTGTTACTTAATTAAGTCCATCTACGAGATTTATTTTTAACATATTTAATGTTATTCGTCTATAGGAAATGAATTTTGTTGATGAATTAATGGGTCATATGCACCAACTTCATCAAGAGATTTCAGAAATACGAAGAGCCATCATTAGTTGCATAGATATGCAAATGAAACTTCATCATTCAATCAAGGACGAGGTTGCATCCGCTTTTAATAACTTAGGTAAGCTCAAGGAAGATTCTCTTATCTTAGTTGATTGACACTGCTTATGTTAATAAATTAATGAAATGTAATTTTCTGTATATTCTTTGAACAAGTTTTAAAATCAATTTGAAAAATATAAATCCGGTTAAAAACATTATATAATCAAAATAGTAATGACAAATTGCGATTCTTTTAATGCAGGCAAACAGAATGGGAGGACTTTGAGCAAGACAAATTATTGTAGTGTATGTCATGAGATCACCATCAATTCACTTCTATATAGGTAATAATAATTATATTGTGACTGAACACATACATTGGCCTAAAATAAACTTAACATCTTTAAATTTGAACAGAAACAATTTAGAGAAATTTTTCCGAATATAAGTAAAAACAATGTCATTTCTCTAAATATTTTCTTTAGATAGTGTAAAGTAGTGTCATCCTCAAATCATTTCTGAAAATATCAAGCATTAATATATATATATATATATATATATATATATATATGTGAGTATATTTGAGGATCGCATGATTTACTCTCAAAACCACATCTTCAACCTATACACAGATGTGGACATATGTGCACTTGCTTCAAATGTGCCCAGGAGTTGCAACATGCCAATGAAAAATGTCCAATTTGCCGAGCTCCAATTATGGATGTTGTTTTTGTGAATCCGTCCATGCGTGAGGTTCTATGAAGGTGAATGTTAATATGCGTGGTTTCCATTACTGAGACAACACGAGCAAAAGAAAATACATAAACTATTTGTTAGTTTTTTGTATATTTGAGTTTGGCAAATAGAAAGATGATACACAATCTGATTGACATTAATAGTGATATGTACTTCATCCAATTTTGTAGTACGCAAGAGTAAATTCAACACATGGGACAAATTTGAGTATTATATAATGTGAGACCTAAGGTCAATACATTGGGAGAATACACTTTAAACGAGGAAATTTAATAAAGTAATCGATGAACTAATTATAATGACATAACCAACAAACTATTTCCAAATATACACAATCTTTGTTATTTTCATCCTATCACCTATTATTCACCTCTCAACTTGAAGCATAAAGGTTATAAGTGCCCAATAATAAAAATATCGCTATATTTCTTAAATAGCACGATTTCCTTAAATAGGTGAAGAATGTTCAAAAATTTAGTTTTAAAAAATAAAAAAAAATATTGATACATTTTGAATAATACATGAATTATATTTATTGAAGGATATGATCTCAATCTATTTTACTGAAAATCATAAAAGATGTCATCTTCATCCCGAATAAATTTCGATGCCGATACCAAAAGTGAAGTGTTTGTCTTCATTTGATAAATCAATGCTTTGAAATAGATTAAGGCGTCAATACGATAGACACAAATTAATTTGTAAAGGAAGGTGAAGTGGGCATAGGCAAATGCTACACTTTTCACGTTTGAGTAATACAAAATTAGATTGCTTTAGAATAGTAAATTAGATTATCATATGAGTTTTATTATTTGTCATTTGTAGATTGATATGTGTTATATAGTAATGCAAAATCACCACATTTTAGAATGGTTTTACGTAGTGTTTACTTAGCTTAATTTTGCATAATTACGGTGTAATATGTATCTTGTAAAATAAGACTATAATTGGAAGATATTAAGAGATTTAATTTGACATGTAAGCAAGAAACATGATTTGGCCCGATTAGAGAGGATGGACCTAATTCAAACGTTTTTGCCCAGTAGCCATCGCCAAACCGGTGACTCTTGTATTTTGGGATAGCTTTCAAAAACAGCTCATTATAAGTAGCTGAAATTTGACCATCGGATTGATTTGCAACTTGCATTTTTTACTGATTGTACTTGGTCTAAATTTTTATAAAAAACAATATATTACATAAACATTTTATAAATTTAAGAAATAAGTAATTTTAAATTAAAATACGCTTACAATGACTTCTTGAACCCGAGGAGGAGGATCATCTTGGGGACATAACATTTCTTATACACTTCAATAGAAAATAATAAAACGATTCAAAGCCACGCCCTTTAACAACATTAAATAATTATATATCCAAATACAAAAATTAATAAAATGACTATGAACAGTTTTTACCAATTTTTCAGCATGAGTCTCAACACAGGATCTACCAACTCTATATTGAGACTCAATGGCAAACCCATGCCTATAGTCATTCAAAACTTGGCACGACAGTCGGATGTGCCAAATAACCGTGCCACGGTCGTGTTTTCTAGTAGCGGAAATAACGTTCCTCAGCACTATAATCTTTGTTTTGTAGTCTTTCATATTACTGTATCGTAATTAATCAACATGTATGGTTACATGGATCATGGATGTACTCATGATTATGCAAATTTTATTTCCAAAATATTTGTCCCAATTCAAGTTAACATGAGCAATTAAGATACTCCCTTTGTCCCTTTTAGTTAGTCATCTTGACTAATGACTTATTCAATCAAAGATGCTACACTTTGACCAATTATATATGTTGGGTTAAGGGCCCAAACCGAGGTCCGGCCCACTAACCTTTTCTTCACCAGACGTGCGTCCAGTCAGACCACGAGGCCAGCCCGCAGGCCCATACTCCTTGGGAAGGGACGAGCGTCTGGGGTTGGGGGTTCAGGCCCAGCGGCTCCTCCCGACGAACGTCTATGCAGGGGCAAAGACAGGGCCACGGGCCATCAGGGGTGACGACGAACGTCTCCTGAGCAAGCCCATAGTCATCGGAGGAAACCCAGTCCACATGGTGAGAATCCATCAAGGCCAGGAGACGAACAGCCGGAACCTCTTGAGGGTCACTTGGAGTGATCCAGCTCACTTCCCAGGCGGACGAACGTCCCCATTATTTAGGCGGGAAACCTAGATTCTGGCGGGAAGTGCATTTAATGCTGAAGATTTGGTGGTTGGGACACAAGCGGTCCACAGGCCTCCACGTCAGCATGGCCACCTGCCCATTGGCGGGTATAAATAGAAGCATTTATTTCATTGTAAAGGGTTGGCAACTTTCTATTATTAGCACTCTAGCTATAGCATTCTTACTCGCAGCACTTCTACTGCCTTGTGAGACGAACGGCCGACGGAGCCTTAGCGAAAAGTATTGTATTAGGGAGTTATTAAGAGATAATAATACCTGATCATTTACTCGCTACCTTACTGCTTTCCTAATCCATATCATCTGCTTGTTGGGCTAGTTTAATCACACACTCCATTCGAAATCCTTGGGCTTACGTGTTGGACCCGGGGGTTGAAGGAATAAACCTCAACACTGGCGCCGTCTGTGGGAAACTGAACTAAAAGTTTCCAAAAAACTCTCCCAAACAGCTACTAAGTCTACCCACAGCAAGCACGATGACAAGAAACAACCGCCAACGTGACCTCTCCGAGCAGCTGTCCCGCGGACGAAGCAACCGCGGACAAACCACGGAGCGTTCCGAGACGTTGGGGACAATCGGGGGAGAGGGTGGCCTCACAAACCTCATCCCCCATGAGGCCAGGCACGACCCTCGACTCATGAGGGAGCTGGCAGAAACAATGCGCCGAATGGCGGACGAACAGGAGGCGAACGAAGAGGTGTACTCAGCTAACACCATCTGGACGCCCATATCACCCATCCACCGCATGCAGTCCCTAGATGAGACTGCGGAATCGGCCGGGCGTCGGACGCCCATCCACATGAGGTTGGGTCAGAATCCATCCTCCCACGGAGCTGGGGGGCACACCGGCGCCAGCACTCCTCGGTATGGTTGGCAGGACGATCATCGAGGGCGTACGCCGGACGTTCCCTCAGAACATCAGGGCACCACCATTGCCCCCGCTGCCAGTAATATCGGACGACGTTTCCAAAGGCATGGTGCCCATATTACCCGGAGGCAACCCGACGCGGTTGTCCCTCGAAGGAACATTGCGCTCGAGGCCGCCCCTCCTGTGTCCCCCGGAAGGGCCGCACAGGAGGCCCGGCTAGAGGCAATGGAACGGCGAATAGCCGAAATGGACAGACGGGCGGAGGCCACCCCAGCTACGCCGCGTTTCTCCCTCACTTCACCCTTCACTCCAAGGGTCATGAATGCAGAGATCCCGCGGGACTGCAGACCCCCCCAGGGGATAGTATACAACGGGACCGGGGATCCCAAGGCTCACTTGATCAGCTTCCAGGGGAACCTTTCCATGCTGGGGGCCTCAGATGAGGCTATCTGCCGGCTCTTCTTCAGCACCCTGAGGGGGCCAGCGCACGAATGGTTCGGGCAGCTGAGGCCCGGATCTATTGACAACTACGAGCAGCTGTCCCAGCAGTTCATGGCACAATTCGCTGCCAGCACCACCCCCAAGAAGAGCTTCACATCGCTCACGAGTGTGAAGCAAGGGAAGGACGAACCTCTGGCCCAATTCCTGGTCAGATGGAGAGACGAAGTACTCCAGGTGGACGACCTGGACGAGCGGCTGGGGGTAAATCTATTCACCAGTGCTCTGGCGACGGGGGACCTATACCGGGACCTTCGGAGGAATCCCAGCACCAGCTACACTGAGGTGCTGGCTCGGGCGCAGAAGTATGCCTCCATTGAGGAGGAGATCAGATTGAGGGACGGCGCTCCTGCAGCCCCTTCCCGAAAATTGGCGGATAGGCTCGGCCCTGGAGGCGGACCATCCCCCCCAAACAAAAAGAAGAAGACGGACAGCGGCATGGTTCCGTGGAAGGCTCATCCGGAGGCCAGCCGCATACGTCCGGACGAATACCACGTCCCTCTGGCTTACCCCGTCAGCCAGATTTTCGACGCCATCAAAGACAAGGGCATCCTAAGGGAGCCCCAAGACAAAAAAGCGCTTATGGGTCTTGATGAGACCGCATACTGCGAATATCACCAGAGGGTCGGCCACCTCACCGACAACTGCAAGCAGCTGAGATTGGCCATCGACGAGCTGATCCGGCAAGGCTACCTGGGCGAGTTCACCCAGCTGCTAAAAAAGAATAGCCCGAGGCAGCCGAACCCGAGATCGCGGTCATGGCACCGCGACGATCGGCGCGAGGCGGAACCAAAGGACGTAGACTATCGGAGTGCTGATAAACGTCCGGAGGGGTCCCTTGGCCCGAACGGCGGGAAAAAGAAGTTGGAGATCAAAGTGATCTTCGGGGGCGCTGAGACTGGGGACACGCCTGCGGAACGGAAGAAGTTCGAGAGGTCCCTCTATGTGGGCTCCATATCAGCACCCCCCCGCCAAAAAGAACAAGGTGGAGGCCATCACCTTTGGACCGGCCGACCTGCCGATATCACCGGTCCCTCACAGGGATGAGTTGGTGATCAGCATGGATGTCAACAATGCGATCGTCCGACGCGTCCTTGTTGATACGGGAAGCAGCGTGAACGTCCTCTATTGGGAGGCGTTCGAGGGAATGAAGTTGAGGAAGGATCAGCTGGCCCCCCTACGTACCCCTCTTTCCGGCTTCACAGGGGACTGCATCGATGCGGAAGGCACCATCGGCCTCCCAGTTGAGATCGGGGATGGACCTCACACCACCCGCATCCGGATGACGTTCGTCGTGGTCCGCCTAAAATGTGCTCACAACGCAATTTTGGGCCGACCCGGCTTGGAGGATCTTGAGGCCATCTGCTCCGTGCGGCACTCATGCATCAAATTCCCCACCGAGACAGGGGTGGGGGTTGCCCGCACGGATCCGCACATGGCCAGGGCCTGCTACACCAAGGCCATGGAGAGGTTCAGAGAGCGAGAAGCCCGGGTCAACAGCATCACTGAGAAAGCCAGGCAGGCTGACTTCGACGCTCGTCTGGAACCGGCTGCCCTGCTCGAGGAGGTGGAACTGGATGACCCTTCGGACAGGAAGGTGTCCATCGGGGCCGATCTAGAACCTGAGATCAAGGAGGGGGTCATAGCCATCCTCCGGAAGTTC